CAAAGACGTCTGTACACGCCAGTTGTGGCCAGCCAGGTCGACCACAAGAAGGTACCTTTTTTTTTTTTTTTTTTTTTTTTTTTTTTTTTTTTTTTCGGCTCATTTCCCCTGATATTTTTTCAAGGATTTGCTTTCAAGGGGGTATTCTTTTTTATCTTTTCCATGCAATTTCTTAGGCCTTCTGGCTGAATAATGATTGAACGCCGATTTTTCTTTTATTACTGATTACAAATAAACTTAATTTCTATTTTACATTTTCTCTTATGTTTAGTGCTTCTATATAATTCTAAAATTTGTTTCTTACTGTCTTTTTATGGCTGCCTCTCTGATCCTAAGATCAAGTGGAAGCAGCCCGGAGAGTACCAGAGCCGAGTTGAGCGAGGTCGTCCTGTACGCCTTAACCATTTTTTGAGCAAAACCACGTTGCACCTCGTTTAGGTGTTTCCTGATTCCCAATTTGCTGGCAGCCGTTGCCCATGCGCTAGCCGCATACAGGATTACAGGCTCTATCACCGCCACATATATGGTCCTGACTATCTCCGGAGAGAGTCCCCACTCCACTTTTGCAGCTCTGGCCAGTTGCTTGTAGATGTTCAGGGCCTTCCGACAGACGTTCGTCACATGCGTGTTGAATGTGAGTTTGTCGTCTATCGTTAGGCCCAGAACTTTAATCTCCCTGGACAGGGCAATGTCCCTCCCGCCCATGCGCAGGAGCGGGGTGTCGTACTTGAGTTTGTTTGTGATGACCATAGCGTTGGTCTTATGTGGCGCAAACTTTAACTTATTCGCGACACCCCACTCCCACACATAGGCCAGAGCGGCATTCGCCCGTCTCTGAACCTCCTGAGCTGTCTCTCCGGTGAAAATCAGGACCACATCATCGGCAAACGCCTGGCAGTGGTCACCTCTGTCCTCCAATCCTTTTAAAAGAGGGTCCAAAAGGATGTTCCAGAAGGTCGGTCCTCCGATCGACCCCTGGACGCATCCCTTGGTCGTCTCGGCTGCGTATTCTGCTCCCGCGTACCTAACCCTCACCCGGCGATCACTGAGGTAGCTGTCGATGACTCTCCGGACATTTTTCGGACAGTTTGACTCCGCTAATCGGCAGCGGATGGCCGGCCACCATGCGCTATCGAAGGCTCCCTCTATGTCTAGTGACACCATCACTACAATTTTCTTTTGTTGCAGGCCGACCTTGATGTGTGCCATCATGTCATAGAGGGAGTCCTCGGTGCTGCGCTGCGGTGTGAAGCCATACTGCCTTTTGCTCAAACTGTCCGCTGTGTGCCATCTTATCCTCCGGATGAGCATCTTCTCCCAAATCTTTCCTAATACCGGCAAAAGCCCAATCGGCCGATATGATTTGGGAGTGGTGTAGCTGTCCTTGCCAGGTTTGGGTAGGATCACCACCACTGCCTCTTTCCATCTAGCGGGGAAGTGCGAAAGGTCCAGACACTTGTTGAGGATCCCGAGAAAGAGTTCCGGTCCCTGGTTTATCGCCGCTCTGCAAATATCTGCAGTGAGTCCATCCACCCCAGGCGCCTTTTTGGGGTTGAAGCTATTGGCTGCGAAAAGAAGCTCCTCCATGGTAAATGATGGATCGGATGGTCCATCATCTTCTCCACCATTCGCCACTTCGGCTTTCTCCCTAACCCGCCTGTGAGCCTCATTATCCTCGTCGGCTTTGTCCTTGGGGTAGAAGGTCTCCAGCAAAGCCTTCGCGGATTCACCACCTTCCAGAACCCTACCATTTTGGATCAGTGGTATGTCCTCCTGCCTATTTGTCGTCCGGCCTATAACCCTGTATATTCCGTCCCACACGCTCTCCCTGTCTTGTTTGCCACAGAAGCTCTTCCAGCTCTCGGTTTTCGTGTTCTTCACAAGCTGCGTGTACTCGTTCTTTGCCTGAAGGTATTCTTGAAGAACAACCTCCCGGCGCACCTGCGCTGCTCCCGCTATTCTCCTTCTGAGTCTCTTGACCTCTGCTTTCTTCTCCGACAACTGTTCCGTCCACCAAGGCAATCCTTTTCTTTTCCCCTCCTTTATTTTAGGTATATGCTTCTCACAAGCCTCTTCTATTCCTTTGGTATACTGTTCTATTTTCTTGTCTAGATCTTCCCTTGTTATTACTCTTTCTACTTCTTCTCTATTGACTCTATCCCTTTCCCAGATTTGGGTGAGTTCCTCTCGGAACTCAACCCAGTCTGCCTTCCTTGTATTAAATTTCCTAGTAGTTCTTTTTATGTCTATTCCTTTTGATTTTTCTAGCTTAATTTCGAAAAGAATTGCCCTGTGGTCGGATACAGTTAGGTCGGCGTTCAGCCTCCAATTGTCGACTCGGTCTAGCAGGTCCTCCGTGCAAGTTGTTATGTCCACGCAGCTTGTGTACCTTCGCCCTCCTCTGCAGCAATCAAACGTGGGTTCGTTTCCTCGGTTCAGGATATGCAGGCCCGTCTCGACCAGTGCCGCTCCAAGCGTCTCCCCCCTCCTATTTGTCTCTGCACTCCCCCACCAAATGCTCCAGGAGTTTACGTCTCCCCCCAGCACCGTGCTCCCGCCCCCCGACCTCTCTAAGATATTCTTGATGCTCTCAATGTCCGCCTCGATGTCGCCATCGCCCTGCAGATACACCGAAACCACCAAGATCTCCCACGCCGCGGTCCTGAGCTTGGCAACTGCAATGTTTTCGGTGGTGAGCGTAGGGCACAAGGTCAGATCGATACTGTCGTCAAACAGCACGATTGCTGCCTTTACCGTCCCACCTCCGCTCACCACACTCTGCGCTACTCTAGTCCCACGGTAGGTCTTGAGTATCTTGGCGGCTCCGGTATAAGGCTCCTGGACTAGCGCAAAGGCAAGTTTCTCCTTCGCAGCTTCCATCATCAGCTCGTCTGTTGCTTGAGAGCACCTCTGCAGATTGGCCTGGACAACACGGTACTGAGTTCTGACGTTTTGCTGGAGTTCCGCCTGGGTGCCCTTAACAATACGCGACTTTAGCCCTCGCTATCGCGTCCCACTTCCGACGCACTGAGCATTCAGGGCTAAAGGCGTTGTGCTCCAGGTTCTCCGAGAATTTGGCCGCAGTGCAGTTGCAACACCGAGGGCTGTCCCCTGCCATCCAGTCTGCGCAATCTTGCTTCATGTGGGGGCCACCGCAATGGCTGCACTTGGGAACACTCTCCCTGCAGAACTTGCGTCCGTGGCCATACCCCAAGCACATTGAGCACTGGACCAGGGGCGACTGGTCCTCAACCCTCACTCGCTGCATGTCGATGTGCAGATAGCCTCTGTTTACCAAATTGTTGTACAGGCGCGGCGACACCCTCAACACCACGTGATCGCAATGTTGGTTCCTCGCCTTGCGCCTGTACTTGATGTCAAATTTGGCATCCTCTCCGTCGAGTCCCTTAAGAACCTCCCCATTTTGGTTCTTGAAGGCCGCCATTATGTCCTCGTCACTGTTCATCTTAAGGACGTCCTTCAGAACCACCATGGGGTCATGGTTCTTAATTTCCTCGACGGTGAGATGGTCCTCTGCACCCTTCAAGCGCTCCTTTACACGCCGCCGAGCCTCCTCCGTCTTGCACCCGATCACCACTCTCCGATCCTTCACCTTCCGGACTCGTTCCACGGTCACCCACCCGTCCTTGGCGTTCACCGATTTGCGCACTCTATCCAGTACCTCGTCCCCGGTCTCTTTCTCATCCTTTGATGTTATAATTACAGAGTGANCGGAGAAATATCCCGCTGTCTGGGGGGGTCTGCCAGTGTACCGGCAGACCCCCCCAGACTCCTCTCCTCTTTAGCGCGGGAGGCCCGGCAAAGGCTGGGCCATGCGTCGGCACGGCGTGGTCTGAATCTGTAGGACCCCACGTCGTGCCAGTAAAACGCAGAGGGTGCACCGCAGGTTTTTAGTGGGTATACTTGTCGGGTGACAGCCGCTATTGCTGCCATCCGACAAGGGAGTCCCACATAACCCGTCGCTTCCCCCGAGGCGGCGGGTATACGCAAAGTATTTTCCTGCGCAAAAAAAAAAAAAAAAGGTTAGGTTAGGTTAGGTTAGGTTGGGGTGCGATGGTGAGGGACCTCCCCGTGGTGCATCCCGGGCAACGTCCGCATGTTCTGTCACGCGGGCGGCTGACTTCTCACCGGCGCGGCAGGTTGCGTCAACTCGGCGGGCCTGTCGGGCAACCCGTAACCCCCCAACGGAGGGGGGCCGGGGGCCCCGGCTACGGAAGTCGGGGTCAAGACAAGGAAAAGTCTATAAAACCCTCAATCCCAAGGTCTGGCGGGGGCCGAGGGGACGAATGGCTAGAGGGTATCTAGTTGCTACCCCGTCGTGGAGCGAGGGTGGGGCAGCTGCGCCCGTAAGCAGAGTATATGACATGGACACAAATAAAACTAAACTACCCCAGGGAGGTACCGGCAAAGCTGGAGAATCCTCTGCCGCTACGGCGGTCACGGCCCACGTATCTGGGGGGGCCGAAAAGTGTTCTGTGTCGACATCGGCGATTACGCCTTGTAAGGTCACACTGACCGAGTTCGATAGTCGGCTGCGAAACATGTATGCAGCCAAACCCAAACAAGAACCTGTCGCCAAAAGGACGGTTGAGGCCGCCGCGGGACCATCCTGCAGTGTGACTCCTGTCCCAGTAGGCTTGACACCAACCCGGATTGACGTCAACCCGGACTCGATTAAAACCGCAAAAGTAGTGGTTGAGACTGCGTCGGCTCTGTCCGATGATCTGACTCCCATTACCCGTAGCCGATCACGGCTTGACAGAGACAACTCCGTCACTCGAGCAGGAGCCAAGCGGCGGCTCGAAGAACCGGAGGAGTCGCAATACTCGGACATAGAAACTGATCACTCTGCAAGGGTGGATCGTTACATACAGAGATGCTTCGAAGCCGACACGGACGACTCATGCATGTCGACCNTGCACCACTCTGGTCCCTCGGTAGGTCTTGAGTATCCTGGCGGCTCCGGTGTAAGGCTCCTGGACTAGCGCGAAGGCAAGTTTCCCCTTCGCAGCTTCCATCATCAGCTCGTCTGTTGCTTGGGAGCACCTTTGGAGATTTGCTTGGACAACACGGTACCGGGTTTCGATGCTTTGCTGGAGTTCCGCCTGGGTGCCCTTAACAATACGCGACTTTAGCCCTCGCTATCGCGTCCCACTTCCGACGCACTGAACATTCAGGGCTAAAGGCGTTATGTTCCAGGTTCTCCGAGAACTTTGCCGCCGTGCAGTTGCAGCATCTAGGGCTGTCCCCCGCCATCCAATCTGCGCAGTCCTGTTTCATGTGGGGGCCACCGCAATGGCTGCACTTGGGAACACTCTCCCTGCAGAACTTGCGTCCGTGGCCATACCCCAAACACATTGAGCACTGGACCAGGGGCGACTGGTCCTCAACCCTCACACGCTGCATATCAATGTGCACGTATCCCCGGCCTACCAAATTGTTGTACAGGCGCGGCGACACCCTCAACACCACGTGATCGCAATGTTGGTTCCTCGCTTTGCGCCTGTACTTGATGTCGAATTTGGCATCCTCTCCGTCGAGTCCCTTAAGAACCTCCCCATTTTGGTTCTTGAAGGCCGCCATTATGTCCTCGTCACTATTCATCTTAAGGACGTCCTTCAGAACCACCATGGGGTCATGGTTCTTAATTTCCTCGACGGTGAGATGGTCCTCTGCACCCCTCAAACGCTCCTTCACACGCCGCCGAGCCTCCTCCGTCTTGCACCCGATCACCACTCTCCGATCCTTCACCTTCCGGACTCGTTCCACGGTCACCCACCCGTCCTTGGCGTTCACCGATTTGCGCACTCTGTCCAGTACCTCGTCCCCGGTCTCTTTCTCATCTTTTGATGTTATGATTACAGAGTGCAGCGCCGGCCGGATCGCGCCAGGTCTACCCGATGTTGTGGCAGCAGCCTCGGCGTAAGAAATTGGTGCCGTTCTCTCCGCTTCAAATCCCTGTCGCAGCTTCTCAAGTTCCAGGTAAGTCTTGTTTATAGTCTCCCCCTGGACCTTGAGGAGCTCCACAATATCCTTCGTCCCCATATCCCTTCTCCCTTCGTCCACATCATTTCCCATCCGTCCCTCATTCAGTCCTAGTTCCTCAGTATTAACCCCAACACTTTTTGTTACAGGTGGCGTTGTTGCTGCGGCTGCGGGTGTCTTCGCGCCGGTCGTCTTACGGGTAAGTTCCTCCGCGTACTCCTTAATCAGCCGGTAGAGGTTGTCCACCGCCAGGATGGCCCCAGCCTTGAGGTCTGTCTTCATGTTGCGAGATTTATTAACATTAAATTTCGCGTACACGAGCCAGTCTCTAGCTTCGGCCATCCTGCCGGTGGGCCCCCTCTTCTTCGGCGCTGGCATCTGCACCTCCTCGGCCGTGTCCGCAGACGGCCTTCGCGTCGGCAGCTCTTTGAGCAGTCGAGGAGATGCAGCCTTCTGTTTCACCGTCCGAGAGGGTGCAGGTGCCTTGTCCTGCTCCGGCTGCTCGGGGGTATGCGGGTGCGTTTTCGATGTGCAAGGCCGGGGTTCACTGAGTCCCGCTTCCCACTCTCCTATGCTACGCCGCACTTTAGATGTCGCGGCGGCGTTGGGGCTAAGGCCAGCCTTAGCCGTCTCAGGGGAGAGCCTGGGGCTCCTGTCATTGTCCGTCCTACTTTTAGCTGGGGTTCGGATGGTAGCCATTTTCAGGGGAAAGCTACGTCCTTTGTCAATAAGTAAATGAAAGGTCTATATGAGACCTCGTAAATGACAAACAACAAAAAGGTTTGTAAAAGTTTTAAACTGTGTTGTCTAATATGTCCTATCCTTTAGTTCCAGGTGTTCCCGATCAAGCCGTGCAGCCGACGCAGCGTCCGGTAAGTCCGTAGTATACTACTATCAGTCACTGGTTACTTGTCTTTCCTTTGCAGATACCAGGTGCGGCGGCGTCACGACCAGAAGCGAAGAAAACCCGAAAAAACAATTGAATAAATCAAAAATCGCGTCAAACTAAAAGATAGGGTCCTTAAAACTAACTCAAACTTCGCCTACGAGTCGCCCAGGTACGATACTACAATAATCTATCGAAAAACGAAATAATTGGGTTAGGTTAGGTTAGGTTAGGTTAGGTTAGGTTAGGTTAGGTTAGGTTAGGTTAGGTTAGGTTAGGTTAGGTTAGGTTGGGGTGCGATGGTGAGGGACCTCCCCGTGGTGCATCCCGGGCAACGTCCGCGTGTTCTGTCACGCGGGCGGCTGACTTCTCACCGGCGCGGCAGGTTGCGTCAACTCGGCGGGCCTGTCGGGCAACCCGTAACCCCCCAACGGAGGGGGGCCGGGGGCCCCGGCTACGGAAGTCGGGGTCAAGACAAGGAAAAGTCTATAAAACCCTCTATTGCCAAGGTTTGAGGGGGGCCGAGGAGCAGTGTCGGGCGGTTACAAACTCGACACGGTCGGTGGAGTATCACCGGCCGCTACCCCTTCCGGGAGTAAGGTGGGGCAGCTGCGCCCGCAAGCAGTATAAAAATATGAACAGTGACAAGACGCGTAAGAATACCCGGGCGGGTCCCAGCCATGCTGGGGAATCCCGTGGCCGCCCAAAAGGCGGTCGGTCTCAAGTATACGGGGAGACCACCACTGTTCCGCGGCAACAACCGCGTTATGACGACTCACGCAATAGCTCTACGGACCTGAACTCACACAGCGATACGGACTTCGACGATTTGGAGGTGGAGGCCTGTGCCCCGTTGGCACAAGCCAAAACCAACGACCATAGCAAAACCCAGACGGACACCGATAAGGAGGAGAAGGAGAACAGGAAGGCGCCCTCTAGATCGACGCGTAAGCGTCGTCAGGAGGAGCAGCCCCTTGTCGAGGACTCCCTTGCGTCTTCAGACGAGGTTGAGGTGGCCCCAGCGGCCAAAATTAATTCTGCCCGCCGTGGAAAGGGCAAGGCTGGAGGCGTTCAGCGGGCCAACCTTTATCTAAAGGAGCGCATGGAGGAGCTAGAGGAGGAGAGGTACACGGCCGAGCTGGACAAGAGGGCCAAGGCCCACTTGACCCAACGGCGGAAGAGCAGAGTGGACGGCGCATCCTCGCCGGATATCATGGACCCGAAGGCAACCGTGGACCACGAGAGGTTGGACCTCGACCAGCTGCGGGCTCGCGGAGGGATATTTGTGTCTGAGGTCGCTCGCGTCTCGCAGATCTCGGGACACCTGCAGGGCCCGCTGAAGGGCGCTCTGAACAGGTCTGTCACCAACCTAACGGGGATCCTAGACACGTTGGTCTCCCGCTCGGAGACAGAGGAAAACCGCCGCCTCAGGGTGGATAACTGTAACCTCAGGAGGGAGGTGGAATACCTCCGGAAAGAAGTCCTCGCCCTCAAGCGGGACATGGAAAAGCTCGCGGCAAACGCCGGCAAGGGCTCAAGAAGGTCCTCAACCCCATCCGGGGCGGTGGCGCCCTCCGTGGAGGATAACGAGCCCCAGGCTTCAAATGTGATGGATCCTCTGCCCAGGGGAGCGCTGTGCGCCGAGTCCATTGAGGAGTTGCTGCAGATGGCCTGCCAACGGGCCGTCGACTCAGCAGCGAAGCTTATAGACGCCAGGCTGGGGGACATAGAGAGCCGGTTGCCACCCCAAAGGACTCTCCGCCCCCCACTGGCGGCTGACGCTAGGAACGCGGCTCGAGCCACGAATGTCCCGGCACCGGCGGCAAGGCCCGCCCCCTTAGCACGGCAAGCACCAAGCACTCCCAATCAGGGAGCTCAAGAGGACCCCGCCACTGCCCCAGAGGAAGAGACATGGGCAACCGTAACGCGGCGGAAAAAGAAGAAGGGAAAACCCCAGACGGCGTCTGCCGCCAGCTCACGCCCGGCTCCTACGCCCAAGATGGCCCCATCCGCGCCCAAACCGGCTCCTAGGACCCCTAAGCCGGCAGCGGCCAAACCTAAGGTCAAGCTGACCCCCCCCCGCAGTGCAGCCATCGTGGTCACACTGCAACCGGAGGCGGCTAAAAGAGGGAGGACGTATAAAGAGGTGTTGACCAAAGCCAAGGCGGCGGTGAACCTCTCCGAGCTCGGGATCCCCAACGTCAAAGTTCACGACTCGGCGACGGGGGCCCGTTTGATCGAGGTCCCTGGCGGTGCTGAGTCTAAGGAGAAGGCGGACCAACTGGCCACCAAACTCCGGACGGCTCTTGGCGGTGACGTCATCGTCACCAGGCCCGAGAAGCGCGCTGACCTGCGCATCTACGGCCTGGACGAATCGGTCACAAGAGAGGAGGTCAAGGAGTCGGTGGCCAGCAAGACAGGCTGCTCCCCAGAGGCGGTCCGTGTGGGAGAGATAAGGCGTGGCACCCGTGGCGAAGGGATGGTCGCGCTCAGCTGCCCGATCGCGGCGGCCAAGGTTTTGTCGGAGGCTGGCCGATTCTTGATTGGTTGGTCTTCGGCCCGCGTGCAGATCCTTAAGACTCGCCCCATGCGCTGTTTTAAGTGCATGGGGTTGGGACACGCCCGACAGCTGTGTCCCTCCCAGACGGACCGCAGCGGGTTGTGCTTCAGATGCAGCAGCACGGGACACAAAGCGGCGGAATGCACGGCTGACGCGCGTTGCGCGGTCTGTGCCGAGAATGGCCGAGATGCCAACCACCACATGGGGGGGAGGAACTGTAATCCTCCCCAGACGAGAGGGAAGACAGCCGCCGGGGTCCTTGTCCCCTTGGTAGCAGAGGAGCACCAGGAAGTGTGCGAGGAGGCAGATATGATTGATGGCTAGTCGGCATATCTGTCTCCTCCAGGCGAATTTAAACCACGCCGCTGGGGCGCAGGATCTCTTCCATCAGTCCCTAGCGTCGTGGAACATCGATGTTGCGGTCGCCGCGGAGCCCTACTGGGTCTCCCCCCAAGCCCACTGGGCAGGGGACGCTGTCGGTGACGTGGCGATTGTCTGTCGGACGGGGCCCACCGCAAAACCTCTCCTGCCACGGGAGCGAGGTCCTGGGTTCGTGTCGGCCGTCTGGGGGGAATACGGGATAGTGGGCGTATACTTTTCGCCCAACCGGCCCCTGTCGGATTTCGAGGCGTACCTCCGCGTGTTGGGACCGGTGATTCAGAGGCTTGCGCCGCTTCAGGTCATCCTCATGGGCGACCTGAACGCCAAATCACGGTCCTGGGGCGGGAACGCCACCGACGTCCGAGGCCGGGCCCTAGAGGACTGGGCGGCGGAAGTCGGACTGTCAGTCCTGAACACCGGGACAGACTACACGTGCGTGCGGCCGCAGGGCAATTCAAGGGTGGATGTTTCTTTCGCCACCCCTGCGGTGGCACGTCGTGTGGTCAACTGGCGGGTAATGGAGGAGGAGACACTCTCGGATCACCTGTACATCCGATTTGAGATCTCCCCCTCCCTGAGCCCTAATGCTCCTCGTCAGTCCGGCCGCTCGGCCTTTCCCAGATGGGCTATCACCAAGCTGGACAGAGAAAAGGCTGAGGAAGCCGCCATTGTCCAAGCTTGGTGCTCCAAAGGAAGGACCCCGCCTCCGGACGCCGATACCGGTGCCACCCGCCTCCGCGCGGCTCTGACGGTGACCTGCGACTCTGCGATGCCGAGAGCCTGTTGCGCGCCAAACCGACGGCAGGTGTACTGGTGGTCTCAGGAGATAGCGGATCTCTGGGCCACCAGTAACGCTGCGAGAAGAGCCTACACGCGCCACCGCCGACGCGCATCACGCGATCCAGCGGAGGAAGCCCGCCTCTACGAGGCTTTCAAGGAGGCTAAGCAGATCCTCAAGGTGGCTATCCTGGAGGCCAAGGCGGAGGCTCACAACTCCATGCTGGAGGAGCTCGATGCGGACCCGTGGGGGCGCCCATACCGTGCTGCGCGCAACAAGCTGCGCAGCCAATCAGCGCCCATCACGGAGACTATGGAACCGGACCTCCTTCGGCAGGTAGTTGGGAGCCTGTTCCCCGCGCAGGGGGACCATCGTGCCCCAGCCCTTCCCCAGCCGAGGAATCTTCAACCGGAGCCTCCGATTCCCCCAGTAACGAGGGCAGAGGTGGGTGTCGCCCTGGACAGGCTACAAGGCAAACGAAGGGCCCCGGGACCTGACGGTATTCCCGGCAAGATCCTTCGCCTGGTCATGCGGGTGGAGGAGAACGAGGATCAGCTTCGAGAACTGTTCGACCTAAGCCTCAGGACCGGACAGTTCCCGAAGCTATGGAAAGAGGGCCGCCTGTGCCTGCTGCGCAAAGAGGGTCGCCCAGCTGACTCTCCGTCCGCCTACAGGCCCATTGTCCTGCTCGATGAGGCGGGGAAAGTCCTCGAAAGGGTTCTTGTCTCCCGCCTTACCAGGCACTTGGAGGACGTTGGACCCAACCTCTCGGACCGGCAGTTCGGCTTCAGGGCGGGGCGCTCCACTCTTGACGCCTTGTCCGCCCTGAAATCAACGACAGAGGAGGCCGTGTCCCGCGGAGAAAGGGCGGTGGCGGTGTCCTTAGACATCGCCAACGCCTTTAACAGTCTGCCCTTCGATGTGATAGTGTCGGCACTCCGCTACCACGAGGTGCCGGCCTATCTCATCAGGCTGCTGACGGACTACCTGCGGGACCGAGAGGTTGCGTTCATTGATGGGCGCGGCGAGATGGTCCGGCGCGCAATCTCCTGTGGAGTGCCCCAGGGATCGGCTCTAGGGCCGATTCTCTGGAACATCGGCTACGACAGTGTGCTGCGGGGCTCGCTCGTCAGAGGGATGAGCGTGCTCTGCTACGCGGATGACACACTGGTCGTAGCCACAGGAAGGGCTCTGCCGGAGCTATGCGCGAGGGTGGAGGTGGCCACCGAGATGATCGTGGCCCGCATAAGGGGCTTAGGTCTTAAAGTAGCCCCTCAAAAAACCGAGGCCTTGATGTTTCATGGGCCTCGGCGCGGGCCACCCCCGGGTGCCCACCTCACTATCGAGGGCGTTCGGGTGCGTATTGGTGCCCAGATGAAGTACCTGGGCATCGTCCTGGATGGGCGTTGGACCTTCCGCGCCCACTTCGAGGGACTGGCCCCAAAGTTGGTGGGAGCAGCGGCGGCACTGGGCAGGTTGCTGCCTAATTTGAGGGGCCCCAGCGTTAGTTGCCGCAAACTATACGCTGGGGTTATAAGGAGTATGGCCCTTTACGGGGCTCCGATATGGGTCGGTTCTCTCGATCGAGAGAACCGTGCCTCCCTGCGGCGCCCGCAACGCATCATCGCACTGCGGGCCATCAGAGGCTACCGCACCGTTTCACACGGTGCGGCGTGTGTGTTGGCCGGGCTACCCCCGTGGGAGCTGGAGGCCGAGGTCCTTGACGCGGTTTACAGATACCGAACGTCAAGGCGGCAAGCAGGGGAGCGACCGGCCATGGAAGAGGTGGAGCGCGTCCGCGATCTCGCTCGGGAGGAGCTTCTGCGGCGCTGGGAGCTGGAGCTTGCGGGTCCCCGCTATGGCGTAAGAACCATAGAGGCGATCCGCCCAGTCCTGGACCAGTGGGTGCATCGGAGGCACGGTTCCCTTACCTATCNATAGCTATCGCACCCGAACGGCGCGAGCGCCGGCCGCGGACGCGTATCGTCAGTCAGAATCACTGCCCAGCGCCAAACGCACGTCGCCGTGCGCCCGGCTTTGCTTCTCGCTACCCGCTCGCGTAAATTGTTTGTGACGCGAACTTGAAAGCTTCCTATTTGTATCTTCCTAACTTTCTTCGCTGTGAACTGTCGCTTCTCCTTCTCTCTGTGCTATACAAATAAGTGTTGGGACTAATTGTTACCGTTGTGTGTAGCAAATAAATGTATGGACTGAACGCCAAATCACGGTCCTGGGGCGGGAACGCCACCGACGTCCGAGGCCGGGCCCTAGAGGACTGGGCGGCGGAAGTCGGACTGTCAGTCCTGAACACCGGGACAGACTACACGTGCGTGCGGCCGCAGGGCAATTCAAGGGTGGATGTTTCTTTCGCCACCCCTGTGGTGGCACGTCGTGTGGTCAACTGGCGGGTAATGGAGGAGGAGACACTCTCGGATCACCTGTACATCCGATTTGAGATCTCCCCCTCCCTGAGCCCTAATGCTCCTCGTCAGTCCGGCCGCTCGGCCTTTCCCAGATGGGCTATCACCCTTTCGGCCTGGGTGTGGACAAGATAGAGGGTGTCCTCTTGGTTCGGGATTTTTGCACCTGTGAATCCCTTCAGCTGAAGAGACCTCGTCAGAGTTTTGGCTGAGTATATGCCACTATAGATTTCTCTAAGGGCATACGCTACGTCCTGTGGGTTCCTGTACGTACAGAGAAGTTCTTTTGTGACATTTGTGATGAGGTTTGGTCTGTTGTAAAGCAGCGGGAAGAGGTTATTGCGGTCTATGTAAGGGAGTTGATTGTTATCTCCTATCAATAGGGCTTCGCTGGCTTGGGCTATCTGGACCGCCATGACTATGGATCCGAAGTGGTTCATGAGGGCCTCGTCGATCTTGCCGAAGTGGCGATCTTGCCACTTCTGTATGGTTTCTTCCCTGATTTTCCTCTTGATGTAGGATAGAGGTATTTCCGCGTAGTCGAGTGAGGAGTCGTCCTTGCTTGCTGCTGTTTTTGCTAGTTCGTCTGCCCTTTCATTTCCCGCTGTGCCCACGTGTGCCCTCAGCCAGAACAAACGCACGTNGACAGAGAAAAGGCTGAGGAAGCCGCCATTGTCCAAGCTTGGTGCTCCAAAGGAAGGACCCCGCCTCCGGACGCCGATACCGGTGCCACCCGCCTCCGTGCGGCTCTGACGGTGACCTGCGACTCTGCGATGCCGAGAGCCTGTTGCGCGCCAAACCGACGGCAGGTGTACTGGTGGTCTCAGGAGATAGCGGATCTCTGGGCCACCAGTAACGCTGCGAGAAGAGCCTACACGCGCCACCGCCGACGCGCATCACGCGATCCAGCGGAGGAAGCCCGCCTCTACGAGGCTTTCAAGGAGGCTAAGCAGATCCTCAAGGTGGCTATCCTGGAAGCCAAGGCGGAGGCTCACAACTCCATGCTGGAGGAGCTCGATGCGGACCCGTGGGGGCGCCCATACCGTGCTGCGCGCAACAAGCTGCGCAGCCAATCAGCGCCCATCACGGAGACTATATATACTATATATACTATATATACGCTGGGGTTATAAGGAGTATGGCCCTTTACGGGGCTCCGATATGGGTCGGTTCTCTCGATCGAGAGAACCGTGCCTCCCTGCGGCGCCCGCAACGCATCATCGCACTGCGGGCCATCAGAGGCTACCGCACCGTTTCACACGGTGCGGCGTGTGTGTTGGCCGGGCTACCCCCGTGGGAGCTGGAGGCCGAGGTCCTTGACGCGGTTTACAGATACCGAACGTCAAGGCGGCAAGCAGGGGAGCGACCGGCCATAGAAGAGGTGGAGCGCGTCCGCGATCTCGCTCGGGAGGAGCTTCTGCGGCGCTGGGAGCTGGAGCTTGCGGGTCCCCGCTATGGCGTAAGAACCATAGAGGCGATCCGCCCAGTCCTGGACCAGTGGATGCATCGGAGGCATGGTTCCCTTACCTATTNCTTATTTTCTTTTTCTTTTATTTATCTTTTCCTTATAGGTAAATGAATTTAGTCCATACTTTTAATGTTTAAATAACTCTACATGTTCTTACATCTACTTACTATTCTATTTCCTTATCTTATACAGTTGCAGTTTTTATTTCTTTTACTACATTTGTTTATGCTATCTTATCTAATACAATTCTTATGCTATTATCTTATCTAATACAATTTCTTATATGTCTATTTTCTATTTCTTACTCTAAACAGTTTCCTTTTTTACTAACTATGTTTATATCTTTATTATTTCTATCTTAATATACCATTTCTTTTATTATATATTAACAAATATATGTAAAGTAATGTGTTTATTTATCCTTATTTCTATTGTTTACTGAGGTGCATATTGTTACACAATAGTTAGCAAATTTTATCCCTATCTTTTTGTTCGCTATTAGCTCATGTAATCTATCTGGCTCTATCTTTTCGTCAGTGTCTTGTTCGAAATTGTGTCTTAGATTGCTATAAATTGGGCACTCAGCCAGTAGGTGGGGGACTGTCTCCTCCACACTATCGTCGCAGGCGCACGATGGGCTCTCCCGACACCTGAAGCGGTTCAGGTATTGGGAGAATCCGCCGTGCCCCGTGAGAATCTGAGTGAGTTTGCCTACCGGCTTGAGTTTCCTCACACTGCGATAAGCGTCAGACGCATTTGGGAAAAACAGCTTTGTTGTTCCTGCGGTACTACCATCTGTATAGCGTGCGCTCCACCTGTCAATGGATGCGGCTCTAANATAATGTAAATATGATGGAAGACGGTACGAAATCCGGCAGTGACAAGCTGCACAAAATCATGCAGCTCCGCGAGCCACGTGTCTCGCTGGAACGCGTCGACTTCGAGTCGGACTCATCAGCGATCTCGATGAGGTCTGCGGACTCTCACCGCAGTGACAAGACAAGGTTTTGGAGCAGGAAGCGCTGTCATGGCAGTGGCGCTACCTCAGACTCCGACGGGAAGGAAGAGGAAGCCCCGGAACCGAAAGTGCCGACTGGGCGTGCCCGCCGTGGCCGAGGGAGGCCGCCTACAACGGGCGAATACGTCGGCAAGGCGAAGTTCCAAGAGGCCTTCCGTAAGGTTAAAAAGCAGCAGGAGAAGAAAGAACTCCAGATCGAGGCAGAGAAGGAGATCTCGGAACTGACAGCAAAGGCGCGGTCCTCTAGGACCAGCACCGAGACAAGGCTCGCTGTGAAGCAAGCCATAGAGGAGAATGAGACCGTGGACGGGTTGCTGAAGCGCGTGCAAACTGGGCTGGCGCTCGTCCAAAAGGTGAACAAAAAGTCGGGGCATCTACAGGGCCCTATGCAGGCGGCCCTCAAGGAGGCCGTCGTTATCATCAGTGCGGCTACCAACATTCTTGCTAGCCGCACTGTCTCCGAAGAAGTGCACGACTTACAAGCACAGAACGACGTCCTGAGGGCCGAAATCGACGAGATGAAGAGGGAGATGGGCGAGCTAAAGGCCCAACTTCGGGCGAAAGCCCCCAACAAGGAGACCCCGAATGAGACGACACCCTCCAATATGGAGGAGTGGGCGGCGAAGATCATGGGGGTGGTGACGGCGCGGATCAATGCCCGAGTGGAAGGGCTGGAGCCTCGCCTGAACCCCGAGCCCAGGCTTCGCCCGCCTTTAAGCTTTGAAAAGCGACGAGAGGAGGCCCCTCTACAGTCTTCTCTCGAAAACCCGGCGACGACAAAGCAAGCGGCAAGAGGGAGCACGACCGAGAGGGTCGCAGACCAGCCGCTTTCGGTCTCTTCCAACCCAAAGACCGAAGAAGCCAAGAAAGGCAAGAGGAAGAAGCAGAAGAAGGGGAAAGCTTCGAAGGCACCCCCGAAAGAGACTGCCCCACCCGTCCCTCGTCCTCTACCACCCGCCCCGACCTCAATGAACGAGGGCTGGAGCACAGTGGCGAAACGAGGCAAGACGAATGGGAAGGATGCGAAGAAGGCGCCCATCAGGGGCCAGAAAAAGGCGGCTCAAGCCGCCGTGCCGAAAGCGCGCCCACCAAAGTCCGCAGCTGTAGTGCTGTCAATACAGCCGGCGGGCAGTGAGAAGGGCGCTACCTACGAAAAGGCCATCACGGAGGCAAAGAGACGGGTGGACATTGCCGAATTAGGCATTGAGGCCGTCCGATTCCGCAGAGCCCTCACAGGTGCCACTATTATTGAGGTACCGGGAGTGGCGAGCGAGGAGAAGGCCGATGCCCTCGCCGATAAGCTGAGGGCAATTTACAAGGAGGAGGAGATACGAGTGTCTAGGCCCACGAAGTGCTCCGAACTGAGAGTGGCAGGACTGGACGACTCGGTAACGCCTGAGGAGGTGGCGGCCGCAGTGGCCAAGTTGGGAGGATGTTCCGTGGAGGCTGTCAAGGTTGGCGGTCTCCGTAGAGACTACACGNTTTTTTTTTTTTTTTTTTTTTTTTTTTTTTTTTTTTTTTTTTTTTTTTTTTTTTTTTTTTTTTTTTTTTTTTTTTTTTTTTTTTTTTTTTTTTTTTTTTTTTTTTTTTTTTTTTTTTTTTTTTTTTTTTTTTCGTATACCTCTGACGATTGCATATCAGAGCCTTTCGTATTAAATTTGTTCAATTATTTGCTATGGGTTTTAGGGTTTTAAAATTAATTATTTTGAGTTTTTGCTAATTTTTAATTTGCTATTTATTGTTGTTAACTTTTGAAACATTTTACCGAGATTCTATTTTATTTTTACTATTTTAATTTTCGTGTTTTATGCCAATTTACTTTCTTGATTTTAATTCTAAATTTTGTTCTACTTTATCTGCTGAATTATATTCTTGATTTTGTTTGCTTTTGAAATTTTCTTGAAATTTGTGCCGAATAATAAATATTGTTTTCGAGATTAAAGTTTTTTATTTCCAATTTCAGACTTATTTTTGCCTAAAATGTTGTGCTACTGTATTCTCATAATACCGTGTCAACATTTTACTTAGATCTTGG